ATACAGGCGAGCGGCCCTACCGGTGCGCGGTGTGCGGCAAGGGCTTCTGCCGGTCTTCAACGCTGCTGCAGCATCACCGGGTCCACAGTGGGGAGCGGCCATACAAGTGCGATGACTGTGGAAAGGCCTTCTCACAGAGCTCCGACCTCATCCGCCACCAGCGGACCCACGCAGCTGGCCGGCGCTGACCTGGGATCCTGCGAGTGTGTGGGGGTGGGGGTGGGGGGAGGGCGAGGAGGGGGTGGGCAGAAGAGGAGACAGGGAGTTAGAGCAACCTTTAGAGAGAATAGTGGAAAAGCTAGAGGCGAATGGGGGAGCTGAGGATTCTAGGAGGAGATGGCCAGGTGGAGGAAGTTACGTGCCCTGGAGACTTATGGGAAATGGGCGATGAAGAGGGCTGGAGGGACGCCAGACAGGCGGCAGGGAGGATCTGGGAGAGATCCAGAAAGGTCAGCAGAACGCTGGCCTGGGCGTATCCACCCTGGTGGGTGCCTGGCTTGGTGAAGTGCTTGATGGGGGTGGGGGGAGGGAGGGGTCGGGTTACATAATTAGAGTGGGGTAGCTTAGATTGGTAGCTACTGAGACCCTCCTTGAGTCAGGAAGGGGTGAGAGGGTAGGTGGGGGGTGAGTAGAGCCCGGGGAAGGACTGGGCCTCTGAGTACAAACCCCCGCTTCCCTTGTCTTCCTCAGGCTTTGGAACCCCTGAATTTGAGTTCAATAAAAACCTTTATGTGGTAAAAGAGACTCATCCTTAAAATGTGTGCATCGGCTGTGCCTTGGGCAGTGGGCAACACTAGTTCCTAATTACCAGCAGGCGGTAAAGCCATAAGGCCTTGTCTGGGAAGTACTTTTATAGTCAGTGATTCACTGGAATCTTAAAATCTACAGCTCAGGGGGCATGACTTGCCCACATGTGCCCAAGTTCGTGTCCCCGTGCCTCACAAACAGGGTGCTGGCCCTCATTGGGAGATGTGAGAGACCTTACCTTTGTGGAGGCCAGAAAAAAACAATGGGATTTTCACATCCAGGTGTAGATACCTGCCTTCCTCCCCTGGCCCCCAGCACCAGCTGCGCGGCGTCTCCTCCACCCAGCTGGAAATTGGCCACTGCTTTTTGTACATGCTGATTTGGGCAAAACCACAGTGAATGTGGCTCACTCTTGGGGCATTTGTTGGGTCAGTGTGAGGACCCAACAAGGGCTCCAGACTTTAAGACCCTCCCAACAGGCTGGACCTGGCCTCCATTTTAGGACCCCTGGACCTACTGGGGCTACCCACTACCACCTTACCTTGATACTACTTTCCACTCTTGCGCCTCAGTCCTCCTGACACTCCCTTGCTCAGGAAACAATGGAAATTGGTGCCATTAGTGAGTCTGGGGGACTCTGGGGTGTGGCCTGGGTGACCTCAGCTGCAACACAGGTCCCGGGCACCTTGAGGAATCTCTGCTGGGGCACATCTTGAGATAAATGCCAGTCAAGGGTCTGACAGTGCCCCATTTCACAGATGGGAAATGGAGTGTAGAGCTGAGTGACCTGCGCAGTCACTCTGTGGCTGACAGGGCCCCATTTCACAGATGGGAAATGGAGTGTAGAGCTGAGTGACCTGTGCAGTCACTCTGTGGCTAGTGGCTTTCAAAGTTTAAATTTGGGAAGCAGAATATTACTTTTCAAGTGAAATCTCCAAGTCTTTTAAAGACATTTGTCAAATTTTATGCACATTTTTGTACAGACACCCTATTCTGAGTGATTTCAAATATTAAAATATGGCAACTCCCACATTTAATATAGGTTATGTACAAAACTATATGTTAAACTGCTTTTGACTACCTAAAGTAGCATTTATTACATTTGTAGACATTTACTGAAATATTCAATGATACAATTTATTTTTCTGATTTTGAAGGTTTTTTTTAAGTTTCCAACATGTTTGTAGGCCCTCAAGAGCCTGTAGGTGCTGGGCACAGTGCCCACAGTGCCTAATGAAGCAGGCTGCATACACAGAAACTCAAAGGATAGAAGCACATCAACTGAGGAGGAGAGGACTCAGCTGCTCACCCCTCTTCCAGGACCGTTTCTGAGATGGGGCCGCCAAAACTCAGAAAAAACACGTGTCTTCCCCAAGATCACGGTGGAACGCCAGCTCACGTGACTTGGTCAGGGAGCCGTAGGCTTGAATTCGGGTTCACCAGCTCCTGTGACTTGGCCCAGCGCTGCTGTGACCGCACCATGCGCTCCACTGAAGCGCTCTTCTATCCACCTCCCCGTGATGCGTCAAGTGTTTGGAAGAGGACTCAACGGTTTCCAGCTGTTACCTCATTACTGCTCATTGCAGCTCATTATTCCCATTTTGCAGATGAAGAAACAAGTCTCAGAGAGGATAAGTATCCAGAGGCTAATTGCCCCACACCACACAGCATGGAAGTCACAGAACCTGAATTCAAACCTTTGCCTAACAACACCACGATGTTACTTTTTCACTTTCTCAAGAGTATTATTGAGACTACTAGCGGCTGCATGATATGTGGTGACACAAGTTATCACTGATGGCTCCATGTGGGCCTGGGTGTTACGATTTCCATTTTAATTTTTCTTTATCTGAAGTCACATTGCTTTGTAACATTAGATATGCTTCAGGTGTGCATCACCACAAACCAGCATCCTGGGTGTACTTACACGGTGAAATTTCCCCCATTTTATTCCTAACTGGTTAAACTTCAATATAACAAGTATAACCCAAAGGACCCTCAATTTTTAACAGTATAAAGGGGTTCCGAGATCAAACCATTTGGGGGTCACTGACTCCATCATCTCTGGGACACCTCCTTGGGGCCAGTCCTCAGGAAGGGTCAGCATTGCTGCCACATGCAAGTGAGGCCTGAGTCCTGCCTTTTGACCCTCGTAGTCTGGAGAGAAGGAGAGCACATGTAATTGTGTGCCCACTGTGGCACGGACAGTGTCCACGGAAAGGGTCATTTTGTCCAGGAATGGGAGACGAGAAACATTTCCAAGTGCTTGGAAGTAGGAAGATTTTAGCGCGTAGAACAGGGTGGAAGTGGGTGTACTGACAAGGGAAGCTTGCGGAAGGCACAGAGAGAGGCAGGGAGGGCAGGGAAAATATATGTATATGTATGTGTGTGTGTGTATGATCATACATATATATCATATCTGTCATATATATATATGTGTGATCATATATATTCCCCGCCACTATGGAAAAGGGTCTCCTCCATCACCTCCCAACCTGTTCTGCATTCTTCATGGCCCTGTCACTACCTGGCATCACGTTCTGACTTTTCAACTGCACTTGCCGCTGTTTCTCACTTGTCCTCGGGCACAGACCAGGGCCTGACACAAACACTGTGTGAATGGATAGAAACTGACTAATGTTTGGTGACAGCAAGGATAATTTCTGTCCTTCTGTGATATTCCTGACAGCTAAAACACTTTCCCTACCCTGCCCCCACCCGCCCATTTTAGGAAACATGTTCTGTTTCTTCCTTATGAGCCAGCACTGTGGTTCCCTGGGGGCTGGACCATGAGGAAGATGAGGGTGGAGAGACCACAGACTTAGGAAGACTGCTGGGTCTTCAGTGCTAGGTTCGGGAGTGTCCACTTACCCCAGTAGTAGAAGGGAGCCACTGCAGGTCACTGCGTTGTGCTGGACCCCAGCTGGCCTTAGAGTGACTCTAGACCCCCTCCCACTGACCACAAGAGGGCAGCAGCGGCTACCCCCACTTCTAAAGGTGGGTAGATATGAGAGCCCCTCCAATATTACTTTCTGAAAAAGGAAGGGCAGGGAAGGTCTGCTGGCACATCTGAACCAGCTGTTAATGCCACCAACATTTTCTCACTCCTTCTCTCCCTACTTCTCTGAGGGGCATCATGGCAGCAACGACAACAGAGAGCAGAAGGCCTGCCTAGTGAAAGCACCAAGAAGGAAATATTCATTTCCAGCACAAAAACATAACAAAATTGGACAAAATTTCACATTTATCAGGTAAATGTATACAGATACTGGCCTTGGAGCTGGGAACCAGGTAAACAGACAAGGTGCCCATCTTTGTCAGTACACAGACAAAGTGGGTGTAATGGGGTCCCGGGATGCTGGCCACTTGAAAAGGCAATATGGGGCCCAGCATACCCTTTCCCACAGACTCTATTGCTAGTCCAGTTAGATGGGGGCAAGCCCCTCCTATGTGTCTGACTCTGATATCCCCAGGAAGCTCCAGGTGAACAGGGCAGTTCACTGTCGACTGCTCAAGGCAGATGGTAAGTGAACCATTCCCCAAGGAACAAGTCTGACCAGTGCAAAGAGAGCAAGTGCAGGCTAATGTGAGTGTGTCTCCTTGAATAGACACTGGGTGGGGGTCCCTCAGGAAGGAGTGTATGCTCTGAAGTCTGAAGGCTGAGTGAGAGTGAGCCAGAAGGAGGGGAGGAATGTCCCAGGCAAAGGGAGCTCTCTGAGAGAAGCAGTGAGACCAAAAAAGCTTAGCCCGTGGAAAGCCTGGTGTAACTGGAGCTCAGGAAGACAGGAGTTCTTTTGAGGGGAAGGAGATAGGGCCAACCTTGCAATACAGTATTTGGGCTATTTTCCAGTTCTGAAAAGCACATGAGGGTATCTGGTGTTTAGCCAAAGAGCAAGGGGTTTGCAGCAGTGAGATGCAAGAGACAGACTGGATTTGCTATTGGCAAATAGGACGCATCCAGGCAGAAAAGAATGCAGGGAAAGGTTTTGGGACGCTGAGTCTTCTGGGACCTCCACTGGCAGGTGGCCATGAGAAGGGATGGCCTCAGGCCCTGGGAATGTCTCCATATTCTCTTTAGGAGAGGAGACTAAGAGGGGCTGGTAGGAGCCAGGTCCATCTGATAAGCACAAGGTCTCACCTTTGTAGCCTTCCTGGCCAGTCCCTCAGTAGATTTTCACAGAGAAGTTGGGGGGGGGGGGCGCGGAATTGGCTCCATGTTCAAGACAGGGAAACTGAGTCTTAGGGAGGGGCAGTGATTTGCCTGAGAACACAGTAAAATGCAGCAGAGGCCCCTGCCCCAGGCCTCTCTGCTCAGGCCTGATCGGAGTCTTTGCCACCTTATTCCTGGGCCTTCTCCCCTAGGAGGGTCTCCACCACCTCCTCTGGTGCTGGCTGCCCAGAGTCTCCCCCGGGGATTCCATTGGGGGCATCTATGTTAGCCTCCATCTTCTCCTTCAGGTCCCGCTTGAAGAAGCCGACCTACAGAAAGACACAGGTGGAGAGAGCTAAAAGCCCTTGAAGGGCTTCCTGCCGGCTGACCCTGCAAGCATGTTCACAAATCACCCGTGCCCCAGACACGAGGTGCCCAGGGCTGGGCGAGGGCACCTGTGCACTTGGCAATACGCTAAAAAGTGTTTCAGAGCACATCACTCCTTGCCTATTAAAGTGTCATGTGCCAATATTTTAGGCGGGTGTGGGGTACAGGCATGAGAGGATTCACCAGAGACAGACTGGGGAGCAGAACAGACAGATCTACTGAAATACACCGCTGAGGGGAGCGGCGGGTTGGTCAGGAGAGGTCTGCTGCGCCACATGGGTCAGCTCCCTGGCCGGGGATTGAGCTTGTGCCGCAGTGGCTGTGGATATCTTAATTGTGCTGTGCTTTAACCCACTGCACCACCAGGGAGGGCCCCTTTGGTGGGTGTTTTGATGATGTCTAATACAAAGTGGAAAAGCCCTCCCTTCTAGAGTGCTAAGTCAGGTGCCATGTGTTCTTGGGCTCAGCAAAAGGAAATCTAAAGATTTGACGAGGCCCCTCCCTGGTGGCACAATGAATTAAGCACAGCACTATGAAGCTGTCCGCAGCAGAAGTTGATCCCCAGTCAGGGAACTAACCCACATGGAATGGCAGGACTCTCGTGCTCGCTTGCTGCACCTTTGAGTAGCGAACCTGCCTGTTCTGTTCCCCACTCTGTCTCTGGTAAATCCTCTCACCCCCCACCCCGCCACATCTCTGGCCTGTACCCCAGTTCTTGTGTGCATAAATTAATAAATCTTTTTTTAAAAATCACTGATGTTGAAAATTTACCAAAACATTAAAAAAAAAAAGGAATATTAGGAGATGCAGACCCAGGCAACAAGAGCCTAACATCACAATCTGCACATTCGTCAACAGGATCTTACTCCATAAAAGGCAGCACCAGACTGCAGGAAGCCGCCGGGGCGGTGTGGACGGTGCTCGTCGGCTCCTGTTTCCTACCTAGATACACACGTGAGAGCTGTTCTTTCTCTCCCATTTACATTAACAGCAAAATGAGAAACTGAAGGAATGTAAACAAAATGGTTGCCAGTGACAACCCTCTGAGGCTGAGGCAGGAAAAGCTTTAAACTTTGATTTTTCTATGGATAGAACACACACGCTCCAGCATGGCTTGTCTGACTCACTCCTCACCCTTCAAATTCCAGCTCCAATGCCAACTCTCGGGGGGTCTCTCTAGACTCCGCCAGCCTCAGTTGGGTTCCTCTGTTTGAGCACACAGGCCCAGTGGAGCCCTCAGTCCGCCCCTGTCTCCCCTGTTAACCTAGAGCTGCACAGGCCAGGGCCAGGTTGGGGTCTGCACCAGGGCTGGGGTCTCATTCAGGCGGTGCTTCTGCGTGAGAGCCTTGGCCTGGCCTGCTGGTGCTGGGTCATGGGGAAAGTCCCACTCGCTCTTTGGGCCTCAGCAGCCTTGTCTAGAGGGAGTAAGCTGAGTTCCCTGCTGGCTTTGATGCTCCTGGTCCTGGTACTCTCCCTGACCCCTGCCAATTCTCCTCCCAGCCTGGTCACCTCAGCAATGCCTGTGACCCCCAGAAGCTCCCACCTTATAGAGTGCCAGGAAAATCAGCAGCAGCAGCAACAACCCCCCGACGCCGCTCCACAAATAGAGCTGGAGATTTTCCTTCTCATTCACAATTTCGACCTTTGTGATGACCTAGAGGGAAGATAGGGCCGTGCAGGGAAGCAGCCTTTCCCGCCCTCACAGCCTCAAGCCTTAGGTCAGAGCATTCCCCATTTGGACCTTATCATGCAGGCCCGGACCCTCTCTGGGCAGAACCCCTCCACCACCCAGTAAACTGGCAGACATGCATGCTGGTTACCTGAAATCCTTAAATGGCCTCCCCGAGCTCAGGATAAAATGCCAGTCTCAGCTCCCTGCAAAGCTTTTCCCTGCAAGGCCTCAGTTTATGTTAGCTTTCCCTTCCCTGTGCTCTGTACTTCTGCTGGCTCCTAGACCCATGCTTTCTGCTTCTCTCTGTGCCCCACCCTTGCTGAGTGTCACAGCTGGCCTTCCCTGGCACTTCTCGGCAGAGTGATCAGGGGTGAACAGCTCACTCTAGCTTCCAAGGAAGCTTCGCCAAGGCTGATGGTTCCAGCAATGGGCCAGTTTCACTCATGCTTTGCCCAGCCCCTCACTGCCAGCACTGCCCCCCAGCTCTGTCCTGAGGCCCACTCCTCAGGTCCCATGGCTGACTGCTGCTCCTGGGTCTCCTAAGGAGGTAGAGAGATACCTGGGCCAGGGAGGCGTTACTGCCGTAGAGGTGGAAATGCCTGGTGCTGTTGAAGGAGATGGAGAGGGAGCTGCAGAGGCTGAACATGGAGGAGGCCTGTGGGAGGGGCGGGGGAGACGTCATGGCCAGGGGAACAAACAAGGGCATGAACCCACTGAGTTCTGCCCCCACCTGGGCTTGACTCACTGAGGAACACAGAGAAGAGTGAGCCCCAGTGGGGTGCAGACGCCTGCTCAGGTCTCTCCTGGAGCAGCCTAAGGTGCCACTCCCTGCTGGTGTCCTATAAAGAATATGCAAGAACCATCCATGGGCCCGTGAAAACTGCCCTGCAAATTTCAAACAACCCATGGTTCTCTTCCTCAGGAAAAAGGAGAAAGATGCAGGAAGACTATTTGGTGAGCGAGCCCCACCCGGGGACCCCCACTTATGTCTGGCGCCGGCAGGTACTACCTGGACCTCCTTGATCAGCTCCACGGTCCCCGTCACTTTCACGAGGAGTTTCTGCTGAAAGTCAACTGGGCAGCGGTGCTGGGCCAGGTGCTGGCAAGGCTGTCGGGGAAGACGAAGACAAGGGGTAAGAGAGGCCTGTCCCCTGCTGCACCTTGCCAGCCTCCACCCTAATTTCCGAGCTCCCACACCCTTACCTCAGTCACCTCAGGCAGCGTCCCCAGGTCCTCCTGGTAGCAGGTGACAGGCGGCTCCTGGGAACCACGAGACAGGGTCTTAGTCAGTCCAGGGATCAGAGGTAATGCTTCCCTAGGAGAGCCTGACATTCCTCCTTGGCCTCCCAATTCTTCCCCACTGTCCCTAGGGGGGCAGACATCACCAAGTCCGAGAAGATTCCTCATTCACCCCCTTTGCACACCTCTGCACCCCTGTAAGAGCCCACCCCTACAGCCATGGTGTCCTGTCCTCCTCTGGACAATACTCACCAGTTGCACGTCGTATGTGTATTTGAGGGGCTCCGTGACGTGATGCTGTGAAACTCCAACCAAGGCCTCCAGGGAGGGCAATTTGTTGTCCTGGCCAAAGGGCTGAACCGTTACCTAGCAGAGAGGATCAGGGGCTCAGAGCCCGAATGAAGCTGCCCTTGGGCCACCCCGGATCCTGCGTGCAGCCCTGTATGCCTGCGTGCCCGTGGCCGTGCCGAGGCAACAGACAGTGACCACACATCTGGCCTCTGTCGCAGTGTGGCTTATGTGCGCTTTTCTGCTTTCTCCACATGGCAGCATCTCACACATCCTGCCAGCTCGTGCCCAGACAGCATCCCTGACTCCTGGGGGCAGGGAAGCTTCCCCTTCGTCTCCCCACAGGAGGTTGTGGGGCTCTTACTCCAAACCCCACTTTGTTCCGGGGAGAATTGAGGCCAGGACAGACAGGTCGGCCAGCGGTCACACAGCAGAGGTGGCTGGGTGTGGCCTGCGCCTGCCGAGTTCAGTCCCACTATCACAGTGGTGAAGGACTGGCCTGGAAGCCCAGCGCATCCCGATGAACAGCACTAGACGCCACCCAACCCGTCCCTCAGGACGGTCTCTGCTGATGCAAATGGACGCCCGACCTTCCCGAAGGCCATCACCTCGTCACAGCATAAGGTGAGCTGGTTCTTACCTCTGCTCTGAAGGGGGCTCAGTAGATTGGGACCCCTTACTGCAGGCCCCCTTCCCTGGACCCCCAGCTCAGTGTGGCCCCATGGGCCTCACTTTCCTCCACAGTAGAATGAGAACGCCTTGGGCTGGATCAGTGCTTACTCCTCTTTCAAAGGTTACCCCTAGGAAAGCTTTCAATGCCTCCACTTTGGACTCAGGGGGTTCCCTCCCTCCTGTGAGCCCCCATCACTAAGTTGGCAGTTACAGCACTGAGCATATAGCAGGAGAAATGACAAACATTGACTCAGAGGTGAGATGTGGGTTTTGATATTCAAATAAGTGCTTCTTCTCCCCACCCTGGAGCTGTTTTCTGGGCCAGCGGCTTCTTGTGTCTGTGCTACAGTTGCTCATCTGTAAAGTGGGAACAACAGTGCCTGTCTCGAGCAACCCCTCAGGCTGGTGTGAGAATTATGGGGGGCTGCATGGATAGCACACCCCAGGCACAGGACTTGGGGATAGCGAGTGGTCGGACACCTCGTCTCACCTATTGCTGCTCAGCACTTAGCACAGCACCTCAACTGGAATAGGACTGCATTAAATTCATGGACGAAAGACTAGGTCCACAGGCCCTCCCTCATGGCACGAAGGTTTATAAAGCACAGCACTATGAAGCTATCTGTGGCTACTGCAACACACGCTCGACCCCTGGCCAGAGAGCATGGCAGCGTGGCAGACCCCTCCTGTGTCATCTGCTGCTCCCCTCAGCAGGGTATTCCGGTAAATCTGCCTGTTCTGCTGCTCACTGTGTCTCTGGTGTATCCTCTCACCCTCTGCACCTCTGGCCTGTACCCCAGTTCTTGTGTGCATACATAAATAAATCTTTAAGAAAAGAAGAAAGAGTAGGTTCTCTCGGAGCCCTCTGGCTCTCAAGTTCTGCATGTCTACCCATCACTTCCCTGGTGGTGGGAAGCATTGGTGAGCATGCTGACTGCAGCCTTTCTGTGCCCTAGAGAAAGGCCAAGGACTCTGGCATGCTGGACTCGATCTCTGCATCCGGAGGGTCCTGGGGTGAGGCTGAATGAACAGTGGCCTTGAAGGACCTTTTCTCATTGAGGGTCATACCTGGTAGATGTGCTTGAAATGTTGTTTCTTGAGATCCTTGGAGATGAAGCTGATATACGGTGTAGAATCTTCCTTGCTGTGGGAAGGGAGAAGAGCAGAAGCAGAAGGTGGAGACAGCACCGTAGTCTCCTGGAGGGCAGAGGGGCCTGGGCCAGGGCAGCCTCTGGTTGCCAGTCGCTGTGCCTGGCACGGTCAGTCACATTTCATCCTGACACCCTATTGTTAGAAACTGAGGCTCATGGAAGGGGTCAGCCTCTTGCCCACGGTCCCAAAGGAGAGCACCAGGACAGGCACCCCGGCGATGAGCCTTGGAGTGTGTCCCCACTCCATGTGCCTCCCCAGCATCTCCCAGTGCCTGGTCCGCTGCTCATCTTTAAGGCACAGCACCGACTCCTGGCTTGCTCTTCTAACAACCTTCCTAATGCCACGCTGTGATCCCACCACTCACCAACTCCAAATCCATCAGTGACCCCTGCTGCCCACAGTGCCAAGGCCAGGATTGCCCCTACCTGCCTGCTCACTGACCCCTCCACCCTCCACCTGCCCTCTCCTGCTCCCCAGATCTGCACCTGTGTGCTGGCTCCAGGCCTGCGGGTGAGAAGGCCCTCCCCTCCCTCCTGCCTTGTCCTCTAGACCCCAGTTCAGGTTCCTAGTTGACCCTGAGTCCTCTGACCCACACTACCCTTCCTGGCTCTAATTTCATAACACATTCCAGGTACTATCATTCTTTTGGCATTTAAGTTCAAAATCGCTAGAGACCCCAGGGCATGTGACTTCCCTGTCCTTATCTCACTGGGCCAACTTGAAAAAGGTTCCCCACTTTCCTGGCTTAACTCCTTTTCTGTATGAGAAAATCTAGCCTACCACCTCCCTGGGTCCTTCCTGCCATAGCATTCTGAGATTTACTAGTTCTGTGGGTTCAGGACTTTTGGTCTCTTGCTTCTGACTAAGAGCTCTGGGCAGGAGACAGCTACTGTGAAACTTTCCTCCTGGGTCTCCCAGCACTGTGGCTCTAGGTGGGGCGGGTGGGGTGGGGGTGTGTCTCCACCCTAGCTACAGACAATGGAGAGTGAGCCTGAGCTTCTGGCATCAACCTCCAGTTCAGACCTGACCTCAGTGGGGGGAGGGCCTTGCACAGGGAGCTGGAGTGACATCAGCCTTCAGTGTGTTTCTTCCATCAGTAAATGCTGACCTAATCCCGAGTTCTTGAAGGACTGTCACTCTTTTGAGCATTAAAGACTCTAGGTGGGCCTCCCTTTTGGCACAAGGGGTTAAAGCTAGCACTATGAAGCTATGTAGCCACTGCAGAATGAGTTCAATCCCTGCCGCGGAGGTGACCCACATGGCACAGCAGACCTCTCCTGTCTCTCCCGCTGCTCCCCTCAGCAGTGTATTTCAGTAAATCTGCCTGTGCTGCTCCCCACTCTGTCTCTGGTGAATCTTGTCACTCCCACATCTCTGGTTTGTACCCCAGTTCTTGTAATGCATAAATAAATAAATCTTAAACACACACACACACTGTAGGGCCCTGAGGAGGGAAGTGGAGGGGAGAAGCAGGGGGTTGAGGCTGCCCAGGACTCACTCCTCTGTGAGGATGTTGATGGGGTACATGACCGGGATGCTGGTGTTGGCTGAGTTGTCTTTCAGAAGGCCAGAGTCTTCATTTTTACTGCATGGGGGAGGGCAGTGTTAGGAGAGGGTGCGCCAGGGCCCAGAGGGCCAGGGATGCTGCTGGGTCTAGTGGGGGCTGGAGGGGCTCCCAGGGGCTGCTCACCAGCTCACTTCAGCCTGCAGCTCAACCAAGTCCCCCCAGGAGCTGTTCAGCAGTGTATAGAACATCACTTGGATGTCAACCTGGTGGGGAAAGAGAAGGCAATGAGGAGGGGCCTTAGCTCCCAGCCCAATCATCATAGCTGTGACCCCAGGGATGCTCTGGGCCTGGGCTGGGTGTTTTATCCTCATGAAGAGACTGAGGTTCCAGTGGCTAAGTCACATGTTTGAGGCCATCTCCAGGTGTCTGATTCTAAAGTCCAGACCCTCAGACAGTACACAGAACTGCTTGTACACACTCCTTGGGTCAAGAAGACGGCAAGCCCTCATGGTCAATCAAGGGCGCCCTTCCCCCAGCCAGCAGCTCCCTCCCACCTGAGCTCAGGTTCCTGCCCCTGGTTCCTGCCCCTGCCCCTGGTTCCCAAGGACCTTCACTCACCGAGCTGCCTGCTTTAAAGATGGGGGAGCTCACATTGCAAGAGAGGGTCTTGGTGGGGAGCTTGGATTTGCCAGGAAGCTCCTCGCAACTCACAGGTATCTGTCTGCGAGGCTGGGGGTGAGAAGAGAGAGCATAAGCGAGAAGAGAGCTAAGGGTTCTGGGGCCCTCCAAGCCTCAGCGCCCGCCTCCCAGCCGGGGCGCTGTCTCAGAGAAGTGGGGCCAAGGAATCCAGGGCACAGCCAGAGACTGGGCACAAAATGCTAACTGCACTGGGCACTGTTCACAGTGGAGACCTGGATGGAACAGCTCAGAGATAGGCACTTCCGGTAAATGGGGTGCAGTCACAGGAGAGGGGATGGTGAGACTGCCAGCACGTTGCTATGTAATTACCCCTTCAGCAAGAGCTGGGACAGTGTGCTTGACCCTGGCTAAGCAGTCACACCGTTCCTTCAGCTTCCTGACCATCTGCAAGGCGTGGGATTCCATCTCGGACTGGGAAGGGAATCCACTAACAGAGGCCCGGGGTCCTTTATGGCTCCCCGGGCTTTCACAGCTGTGAAAGGGGGGTCCTGGGTGGACTTGGACACAGTTGGAGTTTAGTGGGGCATTGCTGCTCAGTCGGTCAGGGCTTCTGTTTGAGATGATGGACAGACAGTGGGGCGTTTGCACAACGCTGTGAAGGCACTTAATGGCCACTGAATTATGTACTGAAAAACTGTTCAAATACTGAACAAAGAGTCCGGAAAAAGATAAAGCTTGCAAGTTGGCCATCCATCTGAGGCCTCCATCTGGGAGAGGGGCAGAGAGGGGTGCAATGGGGCCGGAGGGCACAGGGACGGCCAGGGCAGTGGTGGTGGAGAGCTACGGGGACCGCACCCCAGGGAGAAATCAAATGCTGTGCAGAAGTGAACAACAAGGTAAGGAAATAAACTCAATAGTCATAATCGTTTTATACTATGTAGACATGAAATTTTTCCCAAACATGGGGTAAAAACCACCACCTGGAAAGCCTGTGTGTGTGTATCTAATAAATATACAAACAATGTAATTTGTAGGCATATGCATAAACAGAAAGATAAACGCCAAAATATTAAAAGTAATAAAAAATATTAAAAGTAGTAACATCTTAGTAGTACAATATTAAAAGTAGTCATGCTGAGCTGTGGAGTCTGGGTGATTGTCTTCTTCAAACTTCCTTGTGGTTTCCATGTTTCTGTGCTGATTACGTAGCCCTTTCTCTTATTTGTTATTTTGTAATGATAATTTTTTAAAAATTTTGAAATAACCTGGGCCATCCCTCAAAAACATGCCCATCACCTCCAGGAGGCAGGTGGTCATGTCTCGCTCACCTGAGCATGGCTCCTTGGGACCCGGGTGCTGGGGTGCTGGGGTGCCATTGTCACAGGGCACCATCACGTGCTCCCTGCACGCCACCCTCTCACTAACCCTGGGGTCTCTGTATACGGCTGTGGAATCTGAGGCCCAAAGAGGGTGCACTTCATGCTTCCGGTCCTATGGCTTGTGGGTGAGCATCAGGCTGAGACCCAGAGGGGACCCCAGGACCTCCGCGTGCCAACTGCTCCTGTCCTTATCTGTCCCGACTGCCTGAGCCGCCCCAGGGCAGCAGATGCCAGGGGCCTGTGGGCCCACTCCCTTCCCGCTCACCTTGAACAGCTCCACTTTGCGGAAGGAGAGTCCCTGGGGGAAGCTCATGTGCAGCTTGACCCAGTAAGCGTCTTCTCCCAAGTTACTCAGTGTCAGCCCCACAGAGAGGCTGGCAGAGGCGGTCAGGCGTAGGGCTCTGTCTCTGTTGGGGGGAGATCAAGGAAAAGTGATGGGGGGCAGGTTCTGGCTCTAGTAGGCCAGAAAACAAATACTCGGAACATGCTCCCCTGCACAAGCCTGAGGAGGGGCCTCGTCCCATTCAGACCAGGGTCCCGGGACTTGCTCTGCTCAGAGGCGGAAACCCAGGTGACACATTTAGTTCGCAGATGAGGGTCTTCTGACTTGAGGCACCCTCCTTGTTCTCTCCAGCACACAGGAGCTGCCCCGGAAACACCGGGGGAGCAGGAGGGTGGGGAGGAGTTCCGCAGCCTCACAGACCTTTCCTGGGAGAAGAGCAGCTTCAGGTTTGCCTCACATTGCTTGTCCTCCCCACAGTTCTTCTCAAACGGGATCTAAAAGGCCAAGAAGAAAGAACTAAGGTGTTCAGGCCCCCCACACCCAAGAGGGACCAAACCTCGGCCTCTTTCTGCCCCCTTACCTCCTTGGTCTCCGAGTGCGCTGAGGGGCTCAGGATGGGCCGCATGTCCTTACCCTGCGCAGGGAGAGGGAGGGCAGCGTCCCTAGGTTAATGGCAGCAGCAGAACTCACGCAGGGGCTGAGAGCTC